TTGGGACTCTCTGCACTTCCTGGACTTGTATGTCTGTTTCCTTCAACAAGTTAGGGAAGTTTTCTGTCAGTATATTTTGAAATAGGTTTTCAATTTCTTGCTCTCTCGCTCTCTTCTCCTTCTGGCACCCCCATGATGTAAATGTTGGCACACTTGAAGTTGTCCCAGAGGCTCCTTATACTGCCCTCATTTTTTAAAATTCTTTTTTCTTTTTGCTGTTCTGATTGGGTTTTTTTCTTTCTTCCTTATTTTCCAATTCGATGGTTTGCTTCTTGGCTTCACCTACTGTACTATTGATTCCCTGTATATTATTCTTTATTTCAGTTAGTACATCCTTCATTTCTGACTGGTCCTTTTTCATGTTGTTGATGTCCTCACCAAGGTCCTTGGAGTTCTCCTTAAATTCCTTAAAGGTCTCACTAAGTTCCTTGAGCATCCTTATAGCCAGTGTTTTGAACTCTGCATCTGATTGATTGCTTATCTCCATTTTGTTTAGTTCTTTTCCTGGAGTTTTGTTCTGTTCTTTCACTTGGGACATGTTTGTCTTGTAATTTTGGCTGCTTCCCTGTGTTTGTTTCTATGTATTAGGTAGAGTTGCTATGTCTCCTAGGCTTTGTAGGGTGGTCTGTTGCTGTAGGTGTCCTATAGGGTCCAGTGGGACAGCCTCCCTGATCAACCCAGCTGGGCCATCGAGGTGCACCCTTCGTGTGAACTGTCCACCCTTCTGTTGTAACTGAGTCTTGATTGCTGCTGGTACATTAATGGGAAGGATTTACTCAGGTTGATCAGCTGCAAGGATTGGCTGTGCCCACTAGCCACTGGCCTCTGACACCCTTGGAAGTTCAGCAATGTAGGGTCCCGCCACACAGAGCAAGACGTACTTCAGCAGGGCTCTGGTACCCACTGAGTCTACTCACTGAGTGTGTCACTTGTGGAGGTGGTTGGGTGGTGCTGCTTCGATGTGGTCTGAAGCTGTCCACTGGGTGTGCTGGCTCTGGGGCAAGGTCAGCCTCTGCCTACCTATGTTCTACCCGGAGCCACCAGGCATAAGCTACAGAGTGATCTGCCAATGACTGCTTCTTGTGCTGGGTTTGGAGGCGCCCAAGCAAAGCCAAGCTGTGAACCAAGGCTGGCTGCTTCTAATGCCAGGCCTGGGGCCACTTAACAAGAGGTATGGGGCTCGCTGAGACCAGATGCTGCTTGTTTGAGAGATTTTAGGAAAATTTGAAGTAGGATCCAAGACAGGCCAATTCTTTGGTACAGCCACTAAAAACAGCTTGGGTGAGCCTGAAGGTGGGTAGTACAGGGCCTCAAAGAATTACCAGGGCAGGGCAAACAATGTGACCCAGGTTACTGGAGTCCCAGATATGGCTGCCATCTACAGCCCCAGGGAAGAGCTCACCAAAGGAACAACAGTCTCCACAGCAAGTCTGTCCAGGAGAAAGTTGCACCTCCAGCTCTTGCCCCAGTGCTGAATAATTCAGTTCTTCCCCATATGTCTCTGGTGCCTTTCAAGCTGCTTCCCCGCCACACTGGAGCCCAGGAGTGACTGTGAGTAAGTCCATGAGCGGGCCCTTTAGGATGAGCTGCCTGGGGCTCCAGCAGCCTCAGCCTCCCTCAGCCTCAGTTCCCGCTGGTTTTTACAGCCAGAAGTTATTGGGACTTCTGTTCGTGGCACTGGAACCCTGAACTGAGAGCGTAGGGATGTGATCCCTTGCTCCTCAGAGGATCTCCACAGCCGAGGCATCCCCTTGATTTTTATCTGCCACCCATGGGTGTGAGACCAGCCCAACTGTGCCTCCACGCCTCTCACCAGTCTCGATGTGGCTGCTTCTTTAATTTCATAGTTGTAGGACTTCCGCTCAGCTTGATTTCAGGCAGTTCTGAATGATAGCTGTTCTGTAGTTTAGTTGTATTTTTGATGTGGTTGTGGGAGGAGGTGATACGCATTTATGACCAGAAATCTCCTAGATATTATTTTTAAATTCTCCCCAAATTTAAATAGAAATTTTAACTTTAAATATAATGTACTATTCTATTTCTTCATTTGAGAATTTCCCATTCTCATCCTTCATCCATTTTGTTCTGTGTCCTGAAATTTGTTTGTTTAATATATTTAAATCAGATTTTTATATATAGAAGACTAGATGTTAACTTTTTCTTACTAATCTAAACACTTCTGTTCATTTTCAGAATTATTTAAGCTTTCAATATACTTCAAGAAATATACTTTTTATAGTTATATACATCAGTCTTTTTCTTGGACTTTTTTGGTCTTAATTATTAGTACTATCCAGCTCTTTCCCCAAACACATGGTACGACTATAAATCCTTGATCCCTCGAAAGTTCAGTGTGTGCCCAAGTGATTAACTCTTAAAAAAAAAAAAGAAAAGAAAAGAAAGAAAGAAACCAAAAGCATACAAATAAAAGAGACATGTTGCTTTCAGAGAATAGGTTTTAAGAGCCAGTATACAATTCCTCATTCTCTATTTCCCTCTGCCATGGAAACTGGCAATGTTCCAGAGAGCAGATAATCAGTCTGGGTCCACTATCCAATCCACAATATGTGTGTCCTGAACCACAAATATTTAAACCACTACGTTTCAGGGTTGCTACTGCAACAAAACCTAGTTTATCCCGACTTAGACAACTCTGACAGTTATTTTAGTGAGTACTATGCAGATGGGGAACCTACATAAACAATGTTTATTGTATTTTGGAGCTGGTTAAAACTAGTATATGGTAGTACTACTAATGCTCAGATTTATCTTGTATCTGGTCAGAATGTAAAAATATAATCTCTAATTATTTTAAGATGTCTCTGAATAGTCTAAGAATACAATAAAATCTCCTGCATAAATGTGGTCTTTCATTTCCATGGCACAGGCAAAAACATCAAATACAACACTGGAAAAAAAAAAATGACAGTACACCCTCATGTTTCCTTATATTTTTCTCTATTTTTAAAAGGTAATGCTCACCATCCCACTGACATCACTTCCAGACAAAAAAAATCAAGGCAACAGAGACCTTAAACAACACACTGGATCGGATGAATTTAATTGACATTTACAGAACATTCATCCCTATGTAGTTGAATATACCTTCTTCGCAAGTATACATGGAACATTCTTTAAGATGGACCACATGTTAGGACATAAAAACGTCCTAACAAATTCAACAAAATTGAACTCATATCAAGCACCTTCTCTGATCACATGGTACAACATTAGAAATCAACTACAATAAAAAAATAAAATAAAATAATAAACATTCAAATGCACAGAGCCTAAATAGTTTGTTATTAAACAATGACTGGGTTAACAATGAGATCAAGAAAGAAGTAAAAAACGACCTGAAAACAAATGAAAATGAATATACAACAACCCCAAATCTATGGGACACAGCAAAGGCAGTCGCGAGAGGGAAGTTCATAGCATTATAGGCCTACCTCAAATAAACAATCTAATCCTTCCCCTAAAAGAACCAGAAAAAGAACCACAAATAAGCCCAGAGTGAGTAGAAGAAAGAAAATCATAAAGATCAGAAATAAATGACATAGAGACTAAAAAAAAACAATACAAAAGATCAATGAAACCAAGAGCTGGTTCTTTGAAAAGATAAACAAGATTGACAAACTTTTAACCAAACTCATCAAGAAAAAAAGAGAGAACACCCAAATAAATAAAATGAGAAATGAACGAGAAGTAACAACTAACACCACAGAAATACAAAGGATTGTAAGAAAATACTATGAACAGCTATGAACAACAAATTAAACAATCTGGGTGAAATGGGTAAATTCCTAATAACATACAATCTTCTAAAACTGAATCAGGAATAATCATAAAACATGAATAGACTGATAACAACTTAAGTAGTAATTTTTTTAAAATTCCCAGTAAACAGAAGTCCTCTACTGGATGGCTTCACAGATGACTTACCAAATTTCACAGAAGAACTAACACTATCCTTCTCAAACTATTCTAAAAATTCAAGAGGAGAGAAAATTTCCAAGTCCTTTTTACGAGGCCAGCATTATTCTAATTCCAAAACCAGATTAAGACTCTACAAAGAAAAACAATTATAGGCCAATATCCTTGATGAACATAGATGCTAAAATCCTCAAAAAATATTAGCAAAACTAGATCCAGCAATAGTACATTAAAAAGATCATACACCATGACGAAGTTAGATTTATTCTGGGGATGCAAGGTTGATACAACATCCACAAATCAATAAACGTGATACATCACATAAACAAAATGAAAGACAAAAATCACATAATCATATCAATAGACGCAGAAAAGCATTTAACATAACCCAACACCCATTTATGATGAAAACTCTCAGCAAAGCAGATAGAGGGATCATACGCAACACAATAAAGACCATATATGAAAAACCTACAGCCAACATTCATATTGAATGAGCAAAAACTAAAACATTTCCCTTAAGATCAGGAACAAGACAGGGATGTCCACTTTCACAACTCTTATCTAACACGGTACAGGAAGTTCTAGCCACAGTGATCAGAAAAGAAGAAAAAATAAAAGGCATCAAAATTGGAAAGGAGGAACTAAAACTGTCAACATTCACAGATGACATGATACTGTACATAGAAAACCCTAAAGACTCCACCAAAAAACTATTAGATCTAATAAATGAATTTGGCAAAGTGGCAGGATACAAAATTAATATTTAGATATTGGTGGCATTTTTATACACCAATAATGAACCATTAGAAAGAGAAATTAGGCAATGTAGGGACTCGAGAGAGGGAAAGAAACCTGCTGCACTTTTCGAAGGACACCACGAACTCCCCCCCCACTTCACCTCTTCCTCTTCCTCCTCCTCCTCCTCCTCTTCCTCCTCCTCCTCCTCCAGCAGGAAGCCCTGGGTGGCAGCACTTGCAGCCTTTCCCAGGCTCCTCCCCTCCCTGCCCCCTGCCAGGGAGTGGCCATTTGGCTACCTTCCTCTGTTGCCGAGATGGCCTAGACCCGGCAGCATCTCAAACATGTTGAAAAAGATGTTTTGATCCCCAAAATAATGAGAGAAGAGGCCCAAGAGAGATGTTCTGAACAAGTTCAAGATGTTACCAAATGTTGCCAGGAGTCTGAAATCCTTATGATAGTAAAATGCCGGAAAGAAAATTCTGCATTAAAAGAATGTCTAACCACTTATTATAATGATCCTGCCTTTTATGAAGAATGCAAAATGGAATACCTGAAGGAAAGAGAAGAATTCAGAAAAACTGGAATTCCTACCAAGAAAAGGCTACAGAAGCTTCCAACAAGCATGTAGGCAAATATTCAAATGGTACTCAGTAACACTATTCATAGAAATCACAAATACCTAAAATAATGGATTCAAGGAAGTGTGTTTGCTTCAGCCTAAATTATGGAAATATTAATTTTATCTGAAATAAATATCTTCTAAAAAATAAAAAGAAAAATTAAGAAAGCTATCCCATTTACTATTTCAACAACAACAACAACAAAATAAGGTACCTAGGAATAAATTTAACCAAAGAGGTAAAAGACCTTTACTCAGAAAATTATAAGACACTAAAGAAAGAAACTAAGGAAGATACAAATAAGTGAAACCATACACCATGTTCATGGATTGGAAGAATTAACATTATTAAAATGTTTATATCACCCAAAGCAATCTATAGATTCAATGCAATCACTATTAAAATTCTGAAGGTATACTTCATAGATCTAGAACAAATATTCCAAAAATGTATACAGAACCCTCCCCCCACAAAAAAACAAATATCCTCAGCAATCTTGAGAAAGAAGAATAAAGCTAGAGGTATCAAATACCTGATATCAAACTATACTACAATGGCATTGTAATTAAAACAGCATGGTACTGGCACAAGAACAGACATATAGAATAGTGGAACAGAAGAGAGCCAAGAAATCAACCCATGCCTTTATGGCCAATCAATATTTGACAAAGATGCAAGAGCATGCAATGGCGTAAAGACAGTCTCTTCAATAAATGGTGGTGGGAAAATTGAAAAAAAAAAAAAAAAAAAAGGAAACTAGTCTACCAACTTACACCATACAGAATAATAAACTTAAAATGGAAAAAAGACTTAAATGTAAGTCATGAAACCATAAAAATCCTAGAAGAAAACATAGGTACTAAAATTTCAGACATCTCTCTGAGTAATATTTTTTCCAATATATCTCCTTGGGCAAGGAAAACAAAGGAATAAACAAATGGGACTATGTCAAAGTAAAAAGCTTTTGCTGTGCAAAAGCAACCACCAACAAAATGAAAAGGGAACCCAATGAAAGGGACAACATATTTGCTAATAACACATTTGATAAGGGGTTAATTTCCAAAATATATAAAGAACCTATACAACTCAACACTAGGAAGACAAACAATACAATTAAAAACGGGCAAAGGACCTAACAGACACTTCTCCAAAGAGGACATACTAATGGCTAATATACATATGGAAAAATGCTCCATGCCACCACATCCTTGCTTTATAGAGTATGTCCAATCAATTTCACATTTCAGTTGAGATTAATTCCCAATTTTATCCTCCAACTCTAGGACTCTGAATAGCATTCTTTACACACACACACACCCCTATTTATTTATTTATTTATTTATTTATGAGAGCGGGGAAGGGAGATAGAAACAGATGTGAGAGAGATACATCATCAGCTGCCTCCTGCACACTCCTTACTGGGGATCAAGCCCACAACCTAGACATGTGACCTGACCAGAAATCAAACCAGGACCTCTCAGTCCATGGGACAATGCTCAATTCACTGAACCACACAGGCTGGGCTGACCAGCATTCTTTTAATGTAACTCCTAATTGAACTGATTATGGAAGTCACCTTCCCTCCCTCTTGCCCTTCATACACACAGCCAACTCCTCTTACCAGCTGTCCTAACCTCGAGTCCTGATCATATTTCCAACTAGGCCCCCCCAATAAGCAGGGGCAGACATAGAATGCCCTCTGTCAGGAAAATTCTGAGGAAGTACCTTTTAGGAATTGTAAGTGGCTTTACTTTTTTTGTTAACTGCATGGATCAAGTGTACATGTAAATTATTTAAATGTAATTACCAAAATGCAAATATACATGGCAAAGAAACTGAAAATCCTAAAAGAAGACATGCACAATCCCATCTTCAATTGAAAATAAACAAAGGCACTTTGGCCTCTAGTTCAGTACGCAAAAGTGAATCAATCAGGGAATTTTAAGCAAGAGAGTAAGATCAGATATGCAATTTTAAAATATCATCTAATTTTTTTTCCTTCCTCACCATCTCCACAAGATATTCTTTCTTTCTGCCCAACTTTTAAATGTCCACAGTGAAAATTCATTAAACCCTGTCTCCCAAAATCTCAGGTGTAATAAATTAGTTAGTTGCAAAGTCTTACTAATTTTCTCAAAAAAAATCCTTATCAGACCTTTTGTTTTGCCTCTGCAATATCCTCTCAATACATTGCTTAAAATCCCTAAAATCATGCAGATACAAAATTGCATGCACTGGCCCCAATTTTTTTCCAGATTTAGTATCAACATTTCCTTTTAAGGAGACTTCATGTTTAATAGCCATTCCAACAAGTTATGTAATTTATTATTATTTTTAAAAATTGTTTAAATATGTTTTCACTAATTTTTTAGAGGGGAAAAGAGAAAGAGACCGAAACATTGATGTGAGAGAAACATCGATCAGCTGCTTCCTGTACACCTCCTACCGAGGACTGAGCCTGCAACCTGGGCATGTGCCCTGACTGGGAATCAAACTGGGACCTCCGTCCATGCATGGGACGATGCTCAATCCACTGTGCCACACCTGCCAGACACAAGTCATGTACTTTAAAAACCTCAGTATCTTTTTGCTCATGTTAGCATTCTACTCAGAAGATGCACTCCATATCAGGTTTGGCAAACTTTTACAAAGCCTTCAATTCAATTCCAGTGTCACCATACCCTTTCTTGTTCTCCTCAGGCAGAATTAACTGTCCTATCATTCGTGTTCCCATTGTTATGCAAACATATTATAATACCATGTGATGGTGTATATATAGTACATTGTTGATGTAATGGAGTACCACAAAAAAGAGGAATTTATTCTCTCATAGTAAATCAAATAACACCACAAAGTGTCAGTGGGACCATGCTCCCTCAGGAGGCTCTAGGGGAGAAGCCATTCTTTGTCTCTTTCAGCTCTGGTGGGTTTCTGGTATTTCTTGGCTTGTGGCAACATCATTCCAAATACTTCAGGGCAGCATCTTCAAATCCAGCTGGCCAGCTTCATATAGCCTTTTCCTTTGAATTTGTGTTCAAATCTCCTTCTTTTCCCTCTTAGAAGAATACATGTGATTACATATATGGTTTTCCTGGATATCCAGGATAATTTCCCTATCTTAAGACCTTTTATTTTATCATTTCTGCAAAGTCTTTTTCCCTTACAAGATAACACAGTTCCAGGTATTAAGACTTGATATCTTTGGGTGTCATTATTCTATCATAGAATGGGCATAAAGGTGGAAAGGTGAGAAGTAAAGGGCAAAGTTTATATTTATATTACATAGGGTCACAATTTTCTCTCAGCTATAAAAACCCCTCAGTCATTGGCGTTACCAACTCTTGGCTCTCTCATGTGAGGCCTTTTGAGAATTCTAAAATTCATCGCATGGAAACAGTCTGACTCCTCTAAGTGATCGTTTCAACTAAGCCTCAACTTGATGCCCCATCCTTACTGGACTTCACAGTCCAGCTTTATCAAGAACCCTGCTAAGTCTGTTTAGAAAGAATTTTTCATCTTTGATATCTGATCACCTTGGCCTGCCTTCAGCAAGAATCCTATTAAGTTGGTTTACAAGAATCACCCTATCCTTGATGTCTCCTCTTAGTATTTTCCATCCATTGACTCCCTCATTCTGTTTGTTGCCTTTAAATCCCCAATTGTCCTTGCTGTATTTGGAATTGAGTCCAGTTCTACACTGAGGAATTCTTTGCCCCTACTGCAATAATAGTATCTTAATGAAATTAATTCTTACCACTTTACTGTCCAGCTCTGATTTTCTTAACAGAACCTCCCTCTGTAACATTCTCTGGTGCAGAAGAGACATTCTCAAGCTCAATTCTAAAAACTCTTTCTCAGCCCCGATGCCGTTAGTATAACCCTGGAGCTGCTCCTGCAGAATGGGCAACTCTCTTTGGTAAGTCTCTTTCAAGATGGCTCTAGCCTATCTAGACACTAAAGCAGTTTGGTTGGCCCAAGAAAACACCCTTAATTCAATATCAATGAGACAATACCACACACAGAGACAGCTCTCACCTCTGGCTCTTCCATTGCAAGGTTATTGTATATCTCTCTTACCTTTACACTTCCCCCAGTAAGGTAGCAGCAGCCCCCCAGTCTCTGGGCCTTCAATAACTCCAAGCGACCTATATAATACTTTTCCAAGAATTCTCTAACACTCCACTCAAATAGTAGCCCAGAGAGGCCTAACTATTTTCTGCAAACTAGCAGGAATCCAGCCAAAGAAACATCTTCCCTCCTGAAAAATACCAGTGTTCCAGAGAAATTGTTTGCATGTAGAGCAATATAAAGACTACAGCACTCCCTCTTGGGTTAATAACTCTTCAAAGAACCCTTCCTCCAATTAAAGTCTTTCCTTATCTTGTACAGGCTGGAAGTATAGAGTTCCAGGACAAATCATGGCCACTTCCCAGCAAGTTAAGCACATGTGTTCTTACTGCAGGAATCCTTTGTCAGCTACTGTCCTCAGCTTTGAGCTCCAGGAAAAATGCTCTGATGACAAGAGAAGTCCCACTTAATATCCTATTATACACAAACATATTATAATGTACCTTTTCATACCTAGTTTTCACTTAACGTTATGTTTTTTGAGATTTACCTGTGCTGATACATATAGTTCTAGTTTATTTAATGCAACTGTTAGATGATATTCCATTACATCAGCGATTTTCAACCTGTGTTCCACGGCATACTTGTGTGCTGCAAGAATTTTTAAAACACGCAATACTTCACTAGTCAGGGGCACTGACCTCTTTTCCCTTAGACTGTCAAGTAAAAAAATGACAACAGCCAACACCACAATAGCTGTCCAATGTGAATGAATAAAAATTATACTTTTTTTGTCAGATTGGCAAAAAATACAATATCTTTTTTTGGTGTGCTGCAGAATTTTAGTACTTAGTTTATGTGTGCCATGAGATGAAAAAGGTTGAAAATCACCACATTATATGAATAAACCACATACATTCCCCTTCTAAGAGACTTTTTGCTACTATAAACCATACTGCAG